TTTTTTTTTTTTTCAATTTGTTCAAGTTATACGAATTTATTAATTTTGCGTTCTGTGTAAGTTTGCATTCACTTTTCCGTAGTTAATTAGTCACTGCTTTCATAAGACTTTGACTTTGATTTTTCAGCAATATATTACATTTGTTTTTTATTATTTGTTTTTGACAAATGTACCCTTTTGGATCAACAGGAGTCACATAGAGATGGTGAAGAGATTCAAGATATGGGCCTACAAGGAAGGAGAGCTACCCTTGTTTCACAATGGGCCGATGACATACATCTACTCTATTGAGGGCCAATTCATGGACGAATTAGATACCAGTGGAAAAAGCCCATTTCTGGCCCGTCATCCTGATGAGGCCCATGCATTCTTCATACCTGTAAGCGTGAAAAGAATTGCTGATTTTCTCTATGAACGGCCTAATCCTCACGTGTTCCACGGTCGATTGGTCAGAATTGTCACAGATTATGTCAACGTTGTAGCTCAAAAATACCCCTTTTGGAATAGGAGCAGTGGAGCTGACCATTTTATGGTCTCTTGTCATGATTGGGTATGATATTCTTTTCAATGAAATTTACTTTCCACAGTGATCACGTATTTGTCATTTTTGTTACAAACATAATTTAGCGATAATTCCAGTCCGACATCATAAATATAGAGTTCACTAAGTTATTTCACACATGATTCTACTATTAGGTGTAGGAGTTTAAATCCCCGACCTAAATTTAGAAAAAAAGGAGGCTTATTATTCTACACAGATTTCATATCCTATATAATCCTTGAACATACAAAATATGAAAACTTTTCTATTGATTTCCACAATTTTCATTGGAATGTCTTGAATCCTGCCTCGTCTAAATAATGTTTGCTCATTTCAAACAAATGTTGGAGTCTCTTCATTGGCTCTTATCTTATGTGTTGTACTTGGTTTTTCAGGCGCCAGAAATTGTATATGATGACCCTAAGTTCTTCAAGCATTTTATGCGTGTGCTATGCAACGCCAACATTTCAGAAGGATTTATGCCCATAAGAGATGTCTCATTGCCAGAATATAACTTACCAATGAAAAGTGACAATCTCGGACCACCCCGCCTAGGCCGCCCCGCGGAAGACCGCCCAATCCTCGCCTTCTTCGCCGGAGGCGCCCACGGAGACATCAGAAAGTTCTTGTTTGAGCATTGGAGGGACAAAGACAAGGAAGTTCAGGTTCATGAGTACCTTCCCAAGGGAACAAACTACCACCAAATAATGGGACAGACCAAATTTTGCTTGTGCCCAAGTGGCTCAGAAGTTGCGAGTCCTAGAGTTGTGGAGGCAATTTATGCAGGGTGTGTCCCGGTTCTCATTTCTTACAACTATTCGTTACCCTTCGGAGAGGTTCTTGATTGGAGCAAGTTTTCGATACAAATTTCTCCGACGAGAATATCGGAGCTCAAGACAATCTTGAGGGCAGTTCCGCATTCAAAGTTCTTGAAGTTGCAGAAAAGGGTAATGCAAGTGCAAAGGCATTTTGAACTCAACAGACCAGCTAAGCCATATGATGTGTTCTACATGGTGCTTCACTCACTGTGGCTTAGAAGGCTCAATATTGGCCTACCACATTGATTAACAATTTTTTTATTTTTTATTTATTTTTTGATAAATTACATTGATTTGATTGCTCTGCCCCTTTTTTTCATTTTTAACATTTTTGTAAGGTCCGTTTTTATCCTGGTGTCACAAGTGGTGTTGCAAC